GCCCTCGGTAAATAAGGTAGCAGCAACGAGAAAGTTCCATTTGCAAATAAGCAACTTTTTAATTCAACTCAATTCAAAGAAACGATGCTTCGAACTCCTTTCTGTATCGAAATTAACTTCGAAATTCACAAAGAAATCCGTCCTCTCAAACGCTCCTCGTAAGAAGAAGATTCTTATAATTAGGTAGCATTATACACCATCCTCGAATCTGCTTTCCCTCTGCTTCGCGCAGCAAACTCCATTCATCGTTAACGTAATTCTCAAGATTGGAGGAGTTATTCTTTGATCGTGGAGAGAAAAACGAATCGTTTAAATCATTCGATGCTTAATAGGGACGATATACAGGGTGATTGAAAATTTTATTTTCAAACTCAGTCCATCGATTGTTTCTCCATTCATCAAAGGGAAAAGCCAGACCGACTGTGAAAGTAACTCCAGCCAACGTCCAATTACTTTCTCGTCCTGAGAAACGTTCCACGCGTCATTACGCAGCATCTCCGCCCTTGTTCATTTCCAGCCCTCCACACCCTTTCCCGACGGCTTTTGCCCGTCTCGTTTCCGTTTCCCCCGCTCTCGCTCGACCATTACGCGTCCCTTACGAGCGAGCAGGTGCGCCCAAGCACTCGTCGAATCCGCACAGACTCGCAAAAGAGGATTCGCCAGGAATAAGAATACCTTGGTTATATTTCGTATCTCGCTCTCCGGCAAAATAAATCCCGGCTAAAGGACGAGCAAGCTGAACGATGGATGGCATTCGTGGTCGGACGACCGCGAAGAGACTGAGACTCGTCGAGCGAAAGGGTTGTTCTCGCGGCCGAATAAGAACAACAGGGTAATAAAGCGGAGGGAAGTTGGGAGACGGGGAGACGATAGACGGGGAAATGAATGGAGAAAGATGGATGAAAGGAGCTGAGAGAAAAACTAGAGACAAAACGAGTGTAACGATTCTCGCTAATGAGACTTTCCAAGAATTCCTTATTGCTAACAATGTTTAACGCGTTGAATTATTATAATCTAACGCGAGGTGTTTCAATTTGAACACAGAGAAATTCGAATAAGTGATTGGATCCACGTTTCTTCCCTTAACCAATTTTTCATCCCTACGTAGCAAAGTGTTCTTTCATCCTCAGCACGTTTTAGCTTCGTTAAAATCTGAGAAAAAAGTCACCTGCTCGTTCGAAATTATCCGTAGAGTCAACGTGGATTTTTGTACAATTAGCTTCACCTTACTTTGGATCCGCGTACTCTGTTCGTTAATTTTTCCCTCGACGAAAGAAGCGTCGCGAAGCGGTGTTTAATCACGCGCTCTCGTGTCATCGGTCCCTCTATCTCTTCGCTTTCTTCCATTCGATGGAGAACGAGAGAACTTGTAGTCCGAGTGACTTGCAAAGACGTCGTTTAAGCATAACCCGGTAAGGCACAGACACACGCGTATGCGGTAAACACGTGGGTAAGAAAGAAAGGGGTGTGTGTGTGTGTAGCGAGGCGAACAAGCTGCCACGTAGTAAGGCAGTAGTAAGGAAGGAGGAGAAGACAGAGAGAGGATGGTAGTCAAAGTTTCGACAGTTTGTAAGGAGGTACGAGGCACGCCCCTGTTCCTCTGCTTCTTCTTCGGTTACGGCTGAGGGATAACATAGTACAGCACCGACGTCAAGTTAGCCCGATACCCAACTCACCCCTTTACTCTTGCCATTCTCTTCTCTTCTGTTTTCTTCCTCTACCGTTGTCTAGAATACTTGACTGGCTTTACGATGCACACGAAATAGGACACTGCTGTTTTCCAGCTGCTCGTTTATTCATTTTGCTTTATACTGAGCGTCCTAGATTTTTCCGTATGATAAAAACAGGACTAAAACGCTCATAAATGATAACGAAGGGATATTTACGCATTTGCCATTTTGAAATCAGTGCCATCCTCTGGCCAATTCCTTGTCCACAGAATTTTCAGTAGTGTAGGCGTTTAGTGGAAAGAGAAGGCGGGGAGTCTTCTCGGACGCCCTTAGTTCCGGTCGACGACCGCCAGGTGGCGGCGGGATTGGTCTGTTCTCGCTAGCGGTCCCCCGGCACGCGATCCAAACACATATGATTTCCGAAAAACAGGGTTATAGGCATCTGGGGCAGGGATCGTCTGTCGTCAGCCCCACTGACGAGTCTGGCAGACGATCCCGAGACGAAAAAACCTTTTTTTCTGTTCCTACACTATAGGATGTTTATATTCAAGCTAAGTGCTGGTGCAGTTTTGAATATAGTTATACACGAAGAGGAGGGAAGAGGATGATACAGCTAACATAGAAGTACATTAGTAACGGTGTATGCCGTTTGATCTCGAGCCGAATGGCTGTAAGTCGAAGTTGGCTTACAAGCGCAATCATGCGCACAGATCTTTGGGAATTGAATGGCCACTTTGCGTCGCCTCGCGGGATCCGGAACGGAGGAAACAGGAAATTGAACAAGCTTGTTGGTACGTCAGTGACCCGGGTTTACGAGCTTTCACCAAGGGTGCACGGTAAAGTTATAAAAAGCATAGATAATATAACGTTACTTTGCAAGTACATATTGAAGTTGATCTCATCAGTAGTGATCGCCAAGGCCAACGCGGACAAAGTTTCACGAGGAATCGATGTTAACCACTTTGACTCTGGCGAGTGTCGATCCAGAAACTTGGCAATCCGTGTCGGTTTTATGAGCTCGAATATACGTTTAAGTGGATCTCGTGGAACGATTCGCATCGACGATAACGTATCGTTCGCGTCGTTTCCTATCGTGGCTCTATCGTTTTAACCACCGCCTTATTGCGTTTATCTGCGACGACTTTCTTACTTTCTGACTGGCGTACAACGCAAGAACCGTGCTCGTAAATCAATGGAGAAGTAGTGATTAGCAGGCGCAACAACGAGTACCGTACAGCACGACAACTTCGAGCCTGAACCTCCGACTCTCTAACAACGCTGTTTCCAAATCGTGGCTTAATTTTATATCACTCGCGCATGATACCTTGCCGTTAACTATTGCACCTTGTCACGCGATCAACAGAAACGTCGTTCGGTGAACCTCCTCGCGTTTCACCCTGTTGTTACCCCTACGTTCTTCCTTTCAACCTTTGACACGCTCGAAACCGTGCTGTCATGCGAACAGTTTAATCGAAAATAATAAATCTACGAAAACTGTACGAAGTAGAAAATTTCAACTGATCAAATGGGATTTGACTCGATTTGGTAAACGTCAGACCGATTAGTCTAGCAACCTCTTGTATTTTCGTCACGTAACGACGTCGTACGTACGGGATCATCGAATTACCGATGCTCGAATTTATTTATTAATTAGTATTCAAGGCGTTGCGTAACGAGGATACCAATCGCAGGTGCATTGTCGCGACGAAGGATCGTATCGAACCGCGTCCACGTCGAAGGACCAAGTCGGCGGGCTCGTAAATCCAGCCTGTCGTAATTACCGGGACAGTAGCGAGCTACGTCGAACGTGACGCTGCCAACGCTTTCATATCCGTTCTGATTTATTAAGCCGCTTTCATCGTTCGACGCGCGATTCGCGTGCCGGCGCATCGTAATTAAATCGCGAGTTACGAACCAACGAGCAACGGTTCTTGTTCGACGCCCGATACCAGACCCGTTTCGATCGGCCAAGATTAATGGAATTCTTTGCCTCGTTTCGATACCAATATTCCGGAAAATTCTCCTTTTTCTTCCACTAAACTTCTACTATTTCATGAAGCTTGAATGAACGAATCTACCTCAAGCGGAGCGATTCGAACGACAGAATGCAACGTCGCGTTTGTAAATATTACAGAATTGTTTCCGTCATTTCAATCCTGTAACGTTAACTCGACAAAATTACGTTCACCGCAAATACAGGATGATTTCCTGTTCCGTCAGACAACCCCTGCGGCGTAGCAACGAGAAAAAGAGGCCACGTATCGCGGCGAACTACGTCCCTCGCGTTTCTGTTTCCATTCCGCGTTCGACAAAAGGCGTACAAGTCGCCCGAAGACCGGCACCCAACGTGACACACGGACACGCGAAAATATCCGACCGCAATCAGGTGAAAAATTCAACCGTCCAGCAATTTACGTGGACGCGGACACGCGGCGCCGCTCCGTGAACCGTGTAAACAAGTTCGGCTGGCACGCGTAACGGCGACGTAATGCCGAGCCTCGGCGCGGTTAACAAGTTATCCAGTTGGCTCGCCATTGAATAATGTAGGATTTAATTTCGTCCAGGTTCCCTGGTCGTCATCGAGTCGCCCTGCTGTTGATTCGCGCCGTGAAACATTTAGCGAGCGTGAAATTTCCCTGGCGACTGACCGGATACGAGCCGCTTCCACGAGCGAGCCTTGGGTATTTGTCGATGGACGAATATCGTCCGCCGAGACCACGTCGCTTCGTGTTCTTTTTTTTTCAGCAATTCGTGCCTTGAATTTAGAGGAGCAAGCAAGAGAAAAAAAAACACGACGAGCGTAACACCCTTGCCACCTTCTTCTTTTAACGAAGCAAAAAGAAGTTAATTGTAATTCTTGGCACTAGGTGGTCGATAATGCTAGTCGATACGCGTCTATGTTTATGCTTGGTCAGATAATCGGAGAAAAGAACAATGGGAATCTGGCGAGGGGTTGGGGGTTGAAGAGACGGGCAAAAGTGTCGGAGAAGAGACAACGGGACAGAGATCGTAAGCAAGGAAGGAAAGGGGAGGATCGAAAAACGTCAGTGAGCCCTGGTTGCGGATTAACGGGACGCTTGTGCTGCAACGACGATGCACTTCCCGGACATCCGAGCGCCCGGACAGTTCGTGAGATATTCAACGGACCGAATATCCGGCCAGATTATACGATTTCCCTTTTTGCCACGGTTCCCTTCCTCTGCGATTTTACCTGCTCCCCTTTCTTTTTTATTCGATTTCTCTTCCCCCCTGCTGACGCAACCGACGCACAATCGATTGGATTTCTAGTAGAGATTTCGAATTCATGCGTACGTGAAATGAAACTCTTACCTGGTATTGTTGAAAACTTCGTCCACAGCGTGTCTCAGTGTCTGTTCGTTTAATTCGGTGAATTTCAAAACTATCGCAGCCCCTCTGGCTTGGGCTGCTATCGAGTTCTGATACTGATCCCCGTAAAAGGGCATCAGAATCATGGGCACTCCCCTGTATACACCCTCCGACAAACCCAGAAGACCACCGTGGCCGAAATAGCACTTGACGTTAGGGTGAGCTGTAAAAATAGATCCCATATTAAAACGAAAAATCGTAGTTTTAAATAATATAATTACTTGGATGACAATTTCTGTTTACTCGAAATTATAACGCGTTTCGACACTTGTTATAGTTTATTATTTGTTTAAAAAAGAAAACAATGTCTAGCAAATACCACTGAACGAAAAATATTTACGATACAAACAGACTCATGGTTTATATGTTGACAAAGAGCAAATTTTAATAAAATTTTCATCTACACACCGGCCGGGAAATAGCGAAATCAAAGCAATATCGAGAGAGATCGATTCTCGATATTGGAGAGTAATCATTGAAATCCGTTTGCATCTCACCGCGACGAAAATTCATCGTATTCTCCCCCCTCCCCCCGATTTTTCCTCGAAGAAACTTAAAAATGGGGAGCACCGTGTTCATTTCCATAAATATTCAACCATGGATTTCAGTCTAACCCCGTCAAATATGAATCAGTTCGAGGAAAGATCGTTCCCCACCATAATACGGATTATTACGTTCGTAAATAGTAGGGGAGAGTCGTACAGTAGAGGTAGTTGCGTTAAAGTCGGGTAGCAAATATATTATTTGTATAGGAAAAAAAAACAGGAGGTAATAGAAGCTTTGAAATTAAAATGTAAAAGTACTTCGGTTCAATTATTTCTTTCGATAGAATAGAATAAAAAATAAAAATCCTGGCATTTGTAATACCGATCCCGAAACCTTTTACCATAAAGGTTTCCGTATCTTCGGCGTCGATCCTAATGTCAGATTCCATTACGATCCGACTCCCAACCCAGCGTATTTTTTCGCTTCTTTCTTCTCTATCGTCCCTTCGTTCGTCGACACCGCCGATTTACGTACAGATGCAGACGAAGCTAGAGGGGTTGTACGTCTGTCGGAACGTAAGGGGATGGGACACGACGAGCACCTCTCGAGGTTTCGCCCTCGATACATCCTCGTGACGGTGCTCGTCGATACGTGACAGAGGATATCTATCGGAGGTGGCCTGAATTTTTGCAGCCGACATCGGGAATACAACCGATCGGGGAGAAGGAGAAATCGGTCGGTCGGTTCTCGCACGATTTGCTCGAGATTTCCGTCAGCCGCGTTACCTTAACGGATACATTTTTACGGCACTGGTAACGAGGAAATAACGCGATGGTATTTCCTCGAGGAAGGTCGTTTTACGACACGAATACCCCTGACGAGAATTGATATTTGCTCGAGTACCAGGTGGTAGGGTTGCCGTTCTTTATCCTGTAATATCGGCAAATACTTCCGCTAATAATATAATAAAATATTACGAATGAAGAAATACGGTGAAGAAATTCTGAAAAATTGAAGCTAGACGAAAAGGAAGATATGAAAAAAGAAACGGTAAAAGGAAATGCGTAACCTATGGTAACGGGGTTAATAGAATTCGATGCCTCGAGGGTAAGTCTACGTCGCAAATCGAATCGCGATCGATTCGCATCTGAAATTTCAGCAATGTATCACCAGGGAGCATCGAGTTAGCATAGTATACCGAACTCTGCAACCGTCTGACCCAAGGCAATCTAATAGAATCGTAAAAGTAACAAAGAAGTATATCTCATTCCTTAATGGATACCAAAAAGGAATAACAACGTGTTCGGCATCGATCGAACGATCCGACTTTTTAAAAGCCCTCGAGGATAATGCGACCCATCGTTTCGTTTCTACCTTTATATATCGCTAAATACGATACTCTTGGGTATTGCGTGTCAACATATCCCACCTTCATCGTCGATATCGTTGCCTCTAAAGTCAATTACATTAGCGAGTCGTATACGAATTGACAGGATCGATCGTGAAACACGACGTGAAACGGGTTCCACGACCGAGAACAGCCCGCATCAATTTATCAAATGCTTCTGTTTGTTTCGAATGTTTCCTTCGAATCGAGTAGCCGTGTTGCAACTATGAACGCGATAAAACCAGGGAGTATAATTAAAATGCCACTTTTGCTTTTAGGTATACAGAGTGTCTCAAGAAAATAAAAAGGAAAAAGTGGGCGAAGGAGACAAAAAACGACCGTTGAAGTAGCTTAAGAAATTAAATGGAGCAAAGCGTAACCACGATCTTATCAGGATCAGGAAGAAGAATGATAAGGAGAGGAAGGAAGCGGAGGATCAGGGATACACAGCAGTAAGGAGATAATAAAATTAAAGCGATCGATGCCAGCCTCCGGTCGAGTTACCCCGCCAGTTTTAGCTAGATTATCTGGTCACCTAGACAGCAACGAGATCCGGCCAACGCTAAAAAACGTGACCATCGATATGGTCTCAACGTCCATAGCGTTGCCTCCATGGGAAATAACGGCTGGCGCGACGCCATTGAATATCGATAAAAATAAAAGTGATAAGAGAATATGATAGCGATAATGATACACCGGATCGATAGTGGCCAATCTTCTTTTTACAACGCATAGAGTAAAGCAGCAACCAGGTACTATCTTTGCTCGTGTTTGCTATCTGATGATAAATAATTTATTAGATAAAAATCAGACGATAAACAGTGATAATGAATATCTAACGATTAGGATATCTATCTAATCGAATGCTTTTTAAATTTAATAAATCACCTTCCTATTAAACTAATATTTTTGTTCACGTAAGAAGTTAATAAAGATGAGCTTATTCAATGCAAAACAAGAAAGAACAATATTGTTTAACGCACATTTGGTGTGCAAATTTGCAAAAGACGATGAGCTTGATGGAACATTACGCAAAGACAAACGTGCGAGTTGATCGATGACTGTACAGGATGCTTAAAAAATAACGATCATGATTTCTAGAAGCGGATCCTCGCGAAAATTCATTCTGCAAAACTTTTTATCCTCTTAAAAAATTGAATACACGAAACTGATAGACATGTCATTTAACACGCTTACATTAGTAGATACCAATCACTGGAAATGATTTCACAAATTATAATCAAGTTGTACTTTATAATGAGTTAATGATAGGAGATAATTCTAGTCGTAAGTGGAAAACACTTAAACATATGCTACGTGTTTGCGTTCAGATCAATACGTGTCTGATCACCTAAGTACCTAAACTACTGAACAACCTACTATCGTGAAATGGAGCGCAAGAAGAGGCAACAACATTGCGAGAGCTTTCAATTTTAATACGTTGTCTACCATAGAGCTCTCCAATCCATTAAATTGAAAATTTAATTTTTAATACAGCTCGCATTACCATGTATTATACCAGGTATGGCTACTTCAACTGTGGCAATTAACGCGTTGACGGTGATTTATGTTAGCAACGGGTCATTAACGATTTACCTAATTAAAGTAGTTTCGGGAACAGTACAGAACTACCGGTACGAGCATTCTCGTGGTCTCTAAACATGTAAAAAAAAATGTCTACTTTAACTAAACGTATATTCGTAACAGAGTATCGTTAAGACAATGACCTGGTTCCTCAAGGAATTTGTATTTATCCATTCAAAATAATCTTTCCCAATACTAATACGCGCTAATACATTCTGTATGCAGAAATATTCAGCCTTGACAAAGTTTCTGGCACTGGTTTCGATGACTCTGGCCCATGACCTACCGTATCACATATGCATATGAAAATATCATTGGACGAAACGTTACGTATTAACATAAATGACGCTTGATGGACAGTTATCGAAGAAGAGCACGATATACGAAGGTAATGAGGATTAATTCGATAGGAAGCATCGATGAAATCGGTATCGGGACCACTGATCGCGTATATCGATATAATTTCACGATCGAAAAATAATTTAATATGCAGCGTGATCGACGCGACATACAGAGATATATCGATGTCCCAATATCATTTCGAAGTATCGAAAGCTTCTCGGCTATGCAAATCGTTTCGAAAATTTCAAAACTATTTGACGTTCGATACCGTGCCGCTACTCGACAAATACCCGTCTGGGTTCTCCCCGCTGAAATCCGCTTTCGATATTTCCCTACGATTTCCAAGGGCTCTTTCGATTAGTTCCGCGCAATAGAGGAATTTCAATTTCGATTTCGAGTAGCCGATCGATTCTTCGCCGTTGGCTATTCCCACTGTAGATACGTATAGAGACATCGATATATCATCGCCTGACTTTAGTATTCTTTTATGGATTTGACCTTACAAAATATGAATTAATAACAATAACTTTAGATATACTAAACAGATACTAAAAAGTGTAGGAGCAAAGTTTAATTTTTCACTGGTCGTTCTACATGGGCAAATTTGAATAAGCTATCATCGCGTGCACTTTGTTCTTAATAGAGCGAATGATGAATCATTATTTCATCTAACTCAGCGTACTAAACGTATAACGTTTCGTGGTTACATAACAACGTACTAATATGTTGTGAAGAGTTGTACGCAGTCGTTGAAAAATAATTAGTAGAATATTTTTAAGTAATCAGTGGGATGTGATAGTTATATTTGGTAGATAAATTATTTATAATCAGAGACGATTATACTCTTAACATCAAGAGAATTAATTTGGAGTCAACTTTATTTTATTCTCCATTAAACGAAAGACTTGACGTAACTAATAAATGACTTTATGAATCATTATCACATAAATTGTTCCTAGCACAATGATGCAGCAAAAGCATAAATAAAAAAATATGTGACAGCAAGATAAGAAATAGACTAAATTACCATGATACTTAACTCTATAAGGCAAAAATGAAAAATGTAATGACATTCCGACGAAGTAAACTAATGCTGGTCCGATCAGCCTATTTATAATATGACCAGGAAACGAAGTACGACACCGAACAGAAGCGTATCGATGAAACATGATTCCCTGATTCCAATATCAACAAAACGACCACCATGTTCGTTTACGCCGAACACGATACTACCACTATCCCTTCCGTAATGGCTGCCATCGACTCAAAGTTGACTTTTCTCGCTCTACCATTATGTCATATGTCAGCAGTAAACATTGTTCCCCAAATGACCACGAATAACCTTAAGTTACCAAAATTAAGATATCTCTTCTTCAAACAAATTTTACTCTATTTACTGTGTCCATAAGAAGAATCGTGTAATAAAAGCTGACCCCTCGAAGCAGAACAAGTCTTTGTTTAATCTTCAGACCCTAAATCACTGAGTTGCAAGAATTGAAATCTAATTTAAAAAATAAAAGAAATAAATTATATCGTTACTTACCCAGTATGTCGTATTGGGGTAGCCACTTCTTTACCAAAAAATTCGGAGGTAGTTGCGATAGCTCGTCAGTCTCCCACTTCCAGATGATTTTCCTAGGAATAGAAGCGAACACTTTCAGCAGGGCGTCCATTTTATCCTTCGGCATACTGGAGGTTTTCACCATGGAACCGAGATTGAAGTACAAAACACCCTCGTGAGCTTCGTCGAGGAATTTGGCGATGTCCTTCGGCAGAGGATTCGTTTTCTGCGGTATGTGCAGCCCTCCAACTTCAACGACATTAGGAGGCAAGGGCACAGACCCATGAAGAGTGTAATGAGTGTTCGCGAACATCATGGTTGCATTTCTGCTAAGGTCCTTTAAATTAGGGATGCCCGGTCCATATACTTGCTCGGCAATCGTTTGATCCTTCCAATGATAGACGGTGTTATAAAAGGTGGTTAGAAACCATGCGATTATAGCGTTCCATACTCTGTCCGTAAAACTCATCGGCCTTGGCAAACGGGTGAACATAGTAGGGATATAACTAGCCTCGTTAGAAATTCCCATATGATCGTTCGCCCATGGCATCAGCTGATGAGTGGATATTTCTATGACAGGGGCGTTAAACTTGTGAACGACCACCATGAAACAATTCGTATTGAAGCTCTCCGTGAACACCAGGTCGAACTTCGCGCCGGAAGTCGCTAACTGCTTAACTAGAGGATGTTTCAAGCCGATTTCGCAGGCTACAGACGACATGTTGTGCAAGGCGTACAACTCCATGAATATTCTTAAAGGAGAATCTGAGATCATTTTCAGATCGACCACGTTTATGAATACACCGTATCTTTTGTCTCTTAAATCGATGTCCTTGTAATTGGGCAATGGTTCAGCCGCGATGGCCATCTCTGTTCTCGGGAAATGGGAGACCACCGTCAATTCGTGACCACGACGGGCTAATTCTTCCAATAGCGGCTTGAACACGTCGAAATGACTCTTGCCGAGGTGGCCAAAGAATCCCAAGATCTTCAGCTTCTTCTGCGGCACCGAATTCTTCGTTTCGGCACATGTTGCGAGAAACACGAATAATAAGAAAAGGATCGTTCGTGGTATCGACATGGTTGCGGGTCTATCAGCGTCTAAGACACTGGCTCTGACAGTGATTCTGACGAGCCACGGCTTCGTGAGGCAACGCTATCTCCCCTCTACTTTAGCTGATTCGTCACTGGGTCCATAACAAGCGTAACGCAACCAACATTGTTGGTTCTTTTCGAGGGAATCCCAATACGTACCAATGACGACTTCACAGTTGCCTCTTCGATATTTTGTAAAATAATCTCTGTCTATTTAAGAGAGATATAAATAGCGAGTTTGATAGTGTTTCTAATAATTACTCATTTATTGACACCCCTTGTTTGCTTGTCACATTGTCGCATAAGACGTGCCTCTTTCAGTGTTCGTAATTACTACGAATCTGAACGTTTACAAAGTAATTGTAAACGATTAGAAAATGATAAGATAGGAAAGGTAGAGCGATAGAGAAAACTAGTGGCACTGTTCGTACGAGCCTGACGTTATGTAACGAATTGAACCGGTGTCGTAATTACGATGATCTGCTATTCCGGGCTTAGAAACTTAGGAAGCGTTCTTTCTCAATCGTTTTTACTCTAGTCCGCCGTACGACCATTAAATATTTCAAGAATTTCACTTAAATCACTATCACAGTTTCACATTCAATTAGGAAGGGTAAAATGACATGCGTCATTCGATGAAAAAAAATTGTATAAATGGTGCATCGTAGGTAATTACACTCGATTAGAGAAATTTACGTAGTCATTTAATATCCATTCATGGAAATGCTTATCATTTATTCAGATTACGCATTGCATCACGATTTCTTCAAATTACGAAGATAATTTCGTAAACACGATGACAATGTTAGATACTCAAAGTGAATGACATGCAACTTTAGATCCTAAAAAAATAGATAATCGGATGCTTATCGTTCGTGAACGACTATCTTGACTGACTAATTTACTGTCTTAACACGACAGTTTACTACCCCCTACTATGCCTGCTGTTTACTATAGCGTCGAGAAGAATATTCGTAGCACATTGGACGACGACCAGAATTGATCGCAACCTTTAAACTATTTGAAGCATGGGACAAAAACGAACAGAAACTCTTTAGAGTCTTTGTAATTCGCCATTTAGAATACCTATCATTCACTATGGGAGGTATATGGATGTACTTTTATTTTTAAATAAGAAATGGAATTTGAAAAAATTCCTGTGAAGAATCGATGAAAAATGGTCCTCGTAGAAAGTACCATACAGGGTCTATACGTACCATGTCGTACAGAACTCATTAATTACATCATGATTGCATGTATGTTCTTTCTTCGAACTTAATACAATTATTCAACTGCTTTTGCGAGGTGCAAAATCCGTCTGAAGTTGGGACAACAGGTAGAAACTCGTTAAAACGTGCCATGGTACCGACGTTTGATTAAATTAGCGAAGAACGCTTTCTCCAGTTCGGTTCGATTTAAAACAAGGAACACGCGTTCCCGAGTTCTCGAGTGCAAGCAAAGTAAACTGTACACGGCTTGACTCGATTTTCCCTTGATCGCTTGCTTTATTTCTCTTACTTATTCGCCTCTTTCCTACTCCACTCTACTACGTTGTAACGGCACTTTACTTAATTACCTTCGAACACAGCCAAACACAAACCCTCTCTTCCTCTTTCCCTCTGTTATGCATATTCCTCTCTGTACTGCTTTTTATTTCTTCTTTACCTTTCAGTGGTTTTCGATACCTTTTCAAGTTGTCCTGCTCCCGATAATTTCAAACAGGTAAATAGAACACTAAAGTGATTAAATACAATTACATAATTAATTCTTACTCCATTTGAGAATCCATAAATCGCACCCTTAGAAATTTTAATTTAGTTTAATCATTCACGGTACTTAATTTATTTCAATTTTTATACGCGGCTAAAGAAGAATATTTGCTCGACCGCAAAATGTATTAAACAGATAAATCTGGTGTGCCTGATGGATAATATAAACGTACGTTCACCGTTACGAGAACAGAGCCGAAAAACCAGGCCACCAAACGGTTTCACAAGAGACGATCTTCCATAAAAAAACGACGACGTGTCATTGTTGATCTTTCACGAGTGTTTCCACGCTCGTTTCCATAATGCTTACGGAAAATCGATCGAACAGCGAACGAGCGTGGCTTATGTTGACTTTTAATTTGAAACCGGCGATCCCGACGATACGATTCGGCAGATTTTTATCGACAGCTCCCCAGCTAACTGCTGTTTATCAAACACTAACGAAATCGTTCGCTTGAATGATTAATATAATTGGAGGTTCCTCGACCGGAATCAAAGCTGACGTTTTAACGAGAACAAGCTTCTCCTGCCTGGAGGAATACACGCGAAATATCGGACGCTTGTTACTGGAAAATAACCGAATTTTTCCAAATTACAGACGAAAAATAATATCGCGGTGGAATGATTTCAGACCTGAATTTATTTATTTGTTTCGATGAAATATCTTGACATTCAATTAACAGGCACGAATTCTCTCTGCTTCTCCTGTCGCGTTGGCTGTGGATTAAATTTTTGGAATACGTATCCAGCAAGAAAGGAACGACGGAGGGAATTCGTTTCGTCACGTAGCAGTCGTATCGCGTCGCGTGGAATAATTTCGCGAAGAAATTTTCAACCAAGAAAGTAGGAAGGATCTTCTAAAGTGTATTAAAGTTTGTCGTCTGGACGAATTACAAGCGTTGGCCACTTTGCGCGACCAGATTAAAAGCGTGTCTGCCACAAAAGCGAACAATTTAAGACAACATTATATTCTCACCACTTATACAGACATCAAGGTGTTCATCTATTCTCATCAACCACCGAGTCCTCTTCTTTTTTCATCAAATTCCAAGGAACGTCAAATCGTCACCCGCACCTGTAATAATTTGTTATATATGTAAATGACTGAATAGTTGAACAGGTTAAAAGGATTAATACGAGAAACAGTTTCACGAGAGTGGATTTCCAGCTAAAGGTCGTTCCCTTTTTACGCTTGTCACCCTTTCTCGGTAGCTCGTCGAGATCCACATACAGAAGGCAGTAAAAGAAACGCGGTCGAACAGCGACAAAAGGTAGGAGGGAAGAAAAAAAGGGGGGTGGGAAAAGAGTGCAACAGGGGAAGAAGGTCGGTCGTAACAGGGAATAGAACAGCGACATAAAACGTCGCGTGGAAGACGCGTTGGTCTCCCGCAATTTCCTCGGGATCGACGAACCCACCCCTGTTGGCTTATTAACTTTTATGGGAGGAAACTGCTAACCAGTGAGAAAAGGAGGAAGGATCTGGTGGAAAAGAAACGAGCAGACGTCGTCTTCGAGGAGAAGCATGAAATTTGAATTTATGATTAATAAAAGTTAATTGAATTAATTAGTCTAAGTTCGTAATAAGTACGAGATAAATACCGAAATTTGTAATATAATCCAGATTTATTTTAAAGCTGTTCTATGACTTACGGAGGAGAGTGTACACATAGGGTGGAAGTTAATAATCTCAGTTCCTTTCGCTGGTGGCATTTCTGCCGACAAAATATCCAGCGATATCTCGGGGGCCATTAAAATCCCCGTGGCGGAAGGCAATTTCAATAATACCGCTTAAGCTGGTCGCGAACATGCCTCGAAGAAGCGTCGCTTCTGGCGTAGAACGCTCGCGGGCCAATTTATTATTCCGGAGGTGCAGCAACGCACGGCCAAACCGGCCAGATGCGACCCATCGACGCAAATTACGCGAGCCGCGACGATATTTCTCCAAAAATTGCGACCATCCCTCCACCCCTCCCCTCCTCCCGCCGCTGTACCACGGTATCGTACGTTTTATTAGACGTTACAATAACGTATGCACGAAACGTGGTGTAATTTCAGTAATGCACATTCCTGTAAAAATTGCGCGCAATCTTGGAATGCTAACCGTTCGCGAAATGCACGATTCGTTTTTATTAAAACGCCGGAAAGGGTGGAAAAGCGTGGCATCAATGCGACACAGCTTTATCACGAACTTTAATATCCTCTCAAAAAACGCGAAACGTTTAATCCGCTGGATAGCGGAAAGCTCGTTTTTAAAGGAGAAGTATATTAACGAGCTTCTTAATATCCTTCATTTCATCCCTGGGGTAAATCAGTTACGATCGGAATAAAAATCGCGGCTTTTAAGAAACACAGGGTGTCTAAACAATAAAGGTAAAAGAACGATGAATCTTTTTTTCAATTATTCGTACTTCAAAGTTTGATCTTTGGTCCACCGTAAACGCTGGAATCGCGCTTTGTTATCGCGGGAGGAAGAAAAGAGAAGAAAGTTAGCGGTGAAAGAGAGAGGAAGGGACAGAAGGAAAATAAAGAGGGTTGCCGAGAGGCCAGTGAGACGTACGACTCCCGAGGGAAATTTAGGTGCGACCTCCATGTATCACGGAAGCTAGCGTAAGTAGCTACGTAACCGACGTACGTACACCGCATACGTGCACGATCCTGGTATGTACGATTGTACATGCGCAAAAAGCAACCGGATTACACGCGGTCGCAACCCTAAATACCCGTCCAACGATTTGCCAATCGAGGAGCAGAACGTAAACGACACATAACACGCTCCATATCCTCTAACTGCTTGATCCAAGAAATAGGGAATTAGAGAAAGGATGTAACATCGACTAGATACGTGAAGTTTATGTGGGAGAATCGTAATATAATCAGGACAGCGTCAATTTGGGACGTTGGGGGTTGAAAACCCGGTCTACCGTACCGAAGCTTCTGCTTATACCGGCGGTGTCAAAGGGCGCAATAGGGCTAAATAAATATCCACTCCCCAACAGCCACCACTCTTCAACTGGCGCCGGGTATGGATAAATTGAATACTCATGGGCTTGGCCAATCATTGTATCGGGTACCGGAAATCCAATACATGACTCTTGGGTTGAAAAAACCTGAGTGATATTATATCATAATATAATCAGTCACACACTTACCGAGATAGAATTTACTCTTTAGCTACTCTCAAATTTGGAACTTATTTTTAACTTTTCTAAGTCCCGTGCGTCGCTGACCTTCCGGACGGATTCTTGGTATATCTATATAAGAATCCAAGCAGCAAAGTGAACATGGATTGTACTGTTTTTTTCTTCAGGGCACATCGAGGACTAAGATGCTAGAGATGCAAGAGCAAAAGAGAAATGGTAATAAAATCGATGGCCTGGATCTGCCGTCGGTTTGTAATTGAATCAAATTAATCACCCTCGTCGACCTCCAGTCCACACTCCCCGTCACTATAGCAGCACACCGCTTACCATTTCCAATTAATAGCAGAAAGGCTGCACGTTTCGTTGGAACTTTATAAAACGAATCCAATTACGAACGACCGTTTGTCAAAGGCTCAAAGCCACGGAAAGTTTTGCCTCGGCACGAAAATGACGTCGCCTGCCTGTTTTCCTTCCTCATCTCTGTCAATACGAATAAATGATAGGCTGATAGATAGGCGGACACTATTATTAGTATTAAAAGTCACCTGTAAAGTCATCTAATGAAATCCACGGGTTTATGTATCTTAATCACAGTCAACTGTATCAGTTTCTTCAATTCAATGTAATTTATCTAGCTTTCTTGAACCACCTGCCTGTTTAGGTAAACTAATCAGCTTCCAAATGAATTATTCTTTCCAGCATAGTATTATCCTATATATGTATGTTTCAAATGTTTTAATTTAGGTTTGCCTAGTTTATATAAGAGAAAGAACTTTCAGTTACTTGTCCTTGATAATCCATAAAAGTATTTCTTGCTTTTCGAATGTTCTACTCGAAATCCATATTAAGAGAAACTATATAATATATGTTTATATTTGTCTTATTTGTAAATTTGTTTATTTTTATTCCTGTCCTATAATCTAAGGACTCTAGCATAAGAAGAAACCACGAAGGAAATAAAAAGGAACAAAGAAAGAGATTTCTGTCGTCTATTTCTCCTGTCCATGTTGTTCAATACCTTGAAATAATTGACATAAAAGTGATAAGTTTTCTAAAAAATACGCATGTATAATATATATTGGAAGACATCAATTAAATACTAAAGTAAATTTATCTAATTTAATTACGCCAAAAAG